TGATAGCCCTTTGAAAGGTGGCGGGGGCTGTCTTTAATCCAAATGGCATCCTCAGGAAATCATAGTGTATATTTTGGGTGCTGAAGGCAGTTTTCTGTCGGACATCTTCATTAAATTCAATTTGGTTATAGCCGCTGGTCAGGTCGAGTGTCGAAACGTATGTGCTCTTACCTAGCTTATCGAAAAGGTCGGCGATATTTGGAAGGCGGTACTTATCATCAATTTTAATTTCATTTAGCCTTCTGTAATCTATGACCATTCTATATTTAACTTCGCCCGAAGCATCAGCCTTTTTTGGAACAAGATGTACGGGAGAATTCCATCGGGAGAAGGATTCCTGAATTACATTATCTAATAGAAGTTTATCGACTTGCTTGTTTATCTCTGTTACTTATACGGGGGCTTTTCTGTAAGGTTTTGTGAATATAGGGTCCCCGTTTTTAGTCCGAATGAAGTGTTTTACCTGATTACTAAAACTCAAAGGTATCTGTTCACAATAAAATATGCCCTTGTATTCCTCACATAGTTTACGAATGCTATGTCTTTCCTCTTCATTCATATGGTTTAGTCGTAACTTGTTTAAATTTTGAAGCAATACTGGTCCGTTTCTCTATCAGAGTGATCTATAGAATTTACATACGATTTATCATCCACACATTCACAAATTTCGAAAGGTTTCTTAATAGATACTTCCATTTGTTGATCCAACGTATTTTGTATAATTGTAGTGGCAGAGCCATTCTCACATTTTACCAATGCAGAAGGCATGCGCACTCCATCGCAGAATCTGGTATAATTTAATATTCCTTCGCCATAAAACATGTTAGCGGGTAATTTTCTCAAACTTCAGAACGAGGTGGAAGTATTACAACATATTCTAAGCTATTATTATATATAATATATAGATTATTATAGGTATTCTAAAAGAATTTGTGGTAAGTACTTGTTTCTTTAAGTCTATTACAGCTTCCAACTGCTTTAATAAATCATTCCCAATTAACCCATCATAACGTGAATCAACATTACAAAGATAAAATTTATGTTTTGAGGGAATTCGTAGGGATAGTATGATGGACAAATTTCTAATTCGTTTAGGCAGAAACCTGTTTAAAAAGGCTTTGGAGAGGCAGTTCTCGTGGAAACATCCGTATCATTAGAAACTGGCTTATTATGCACATTATTATTATTAGGATAATTAAAACGCTGAGAATTACCAAACTGTTGTGGTAACATTGGTTGCATGGCGCTATAGCCCGGGGGTATAAATCCAAAGTTTGGTCGGTATCCAAAATTAGGTCGGTATCCAAACTGAGGTGGGTGATATTGCTTATGGAAACTCATTTGCTGTTGAGGCTTATTTTGTGGTAACGGAATCCTAATTTGCCTACTATTGGGAATGCCAAACTTAAATTGAGGTGGTGTTCCGAAGTTCTGCCTAGGGGGTTGGTTTTGTGCTAACATTTGTCTGAAACCTGTAGGCGGTGTTGGCATTGCGAACTTAAACGATGGTTGTTGCACTAGTGTACTACTAGACTGTGGCTTAGACGTATGCCTAGACTGTAACATTTTACTACGCATCTGATATTGGTCATAGACTACGCATATGATATTGGTCATAGAAGTTTACTTCTTCTAGAACTATATTTAGTGCTTCTTCTAGTAAAATGGGTGTTTTCAACATATCAATGCGCACCATATTTTCGGATAAATTATATAATAATGAGTATATGCCATTAGCTATAATAAAAAAAATGCTTCTTCATGTGATATCTTAATGCATTGTAACCATCTTGAAGAGACAGTAACATTAAGTGACTATGTTATACTGTGCGTTGGAAGCCAAGACAAAAACCCGTATAAATTGTACTCTAATCTTAGCGTTGCTTTGTATAAACTGCGCAAAACGAATGTTTAATAATTACCTGTACTAAGTAATTTGTTTTCAAATGAAAAAATGTTAATTAATATTTATAAAATATTGACTCAAAATAACAAAAATTGTAGGCTTATTGACATTGATTACAAATACTGTAATGTATATTCAACAACCGATTACATAAATTACCTGTGTTAATCTATTGACATGTCTATAGATAGTCATGAGTATGATAAACAATTTATAGTGCAGAAAAGTAGGCATAATAACTTGACTGAAAATATGTGGATAGAACCTCATTTATAGACGAACCTAAGAAGGGAACCATACCTTATTATTTCCATTTTCCTTCTCTTGATTTGTATAAAGCTGAAGATAAACCCGACGTATTTTCATCCCCAAGAATTGTGATCGTCTTTTTTTTTTCATTTTGGGTACCTCTGTATATGATGTTATAGGTAATGATGACATACGTTGTTTATGCCCAAATTTGGTTATGTTTGAACGCCACCCAATTGCGTTCGAGCTGGCACCTCACCCGATGGTATGTAGGTGAGATAAGCGCCGAGGTGGGGCGGCCGTGTGCGGTATGCAGTGGCTCAACGCGTGGGCGATGATGGGGAGTTGCCCACGGGCCGCGAAGCGGGGAACCCGCGTAGCACGTTTATTGCGGCTGAAGTTCACGCGACCGTTGTCGGGTCCAGATAGTTAGATTAAGTGCGTGTTACTTTTTTACGTGGATATGTGAATTTTGCAATATTTAACTTGTTCGGGGATGCGGAATTGTGCACGCGCGCGTCGAGTAGAAATACGGTCTAGGATTCGAACCGCGCATTCCTTGTTCGAGAGCTTCTCCCGGTTGATCGTCAGGAAATCATTATAATTGTGCCGTCGCGTTAAGTGCCCTTTTTTATGTTGGTTGGCTTGTTAGTTTACGTGTCAACGAGGCGTATTTTGAATCTTTTCGCGACGTGGTGTTTTGGTGTCGAATGAAGGAACTTAGTTGTGTTTAACGCTGAATCGTATGACTCATTAATAGATCGCTTTAATTCCCTATTTATAATTTTGTAATAAGTGAATCCGGGACATTGAATGTCGAATTGGAACTACTGTCCATACTGTGTCAGGTATCACGTGTTCGATTCTACGATGAATGTGGAATTAGGCGAGTTTAAGTTAGTTAAATGTACAATGAAGCTAATAGACTGAAATAGTGACAAGGAAGAAAGAAATGGTCCAGCGGTGGAGCCTGCTGGAGCGATGCAGCATTTTGGGGCAGCCTGGAACTCGGCCGCTGCTGATCGCCTAAGGTGGTCAAGGTCTCACACATTTACACATCACTGAACACTACTTGCCATTCACCTTACACCCACTCTCGGCCTGACCGAGCCTTGGTGCGAAGTTAGCTTCTGATACTGGTACGTAATATGTGTTTCTAGCATTCTCCCATATAGCTTAGTATTATAGGAAATCTTTGCATGTGGCCATTTTGAGCCCGACCTGCGGCTGCTCGTGGAATCTTCTGCTCATGGGCCCCGGAAGATTCGACCTTTGCTGGATCAGTTGCGAGCCGTAACATACGTGTTTTACTGAGTGTATTGTTTACATCTTTCTTCTTTTCTATGCAAGTTTCTTGCAGTTTTAGTTCTATGGTCGAATGAGTGTTTAAACTTTGCCCAACTTTTATTTTACTATTCCAGCAGTTTAATTTTATCTAACTTCATCGGTGTTTACCTTCGTGGTGATACTTCTCCATTGGGTAGATAGTTGTATAGAAAGCGCATGTATTTAATCCCTAAGATCATTAATCATTGAGCTTTCGGTGGTTGTTAAATAAGGTAAACTTTGTGAACTATCATCTAAAAATGTGGAATTTTCTATGTTATCATTACTTAATAAATCTTCAATTGAAATATGTCTACCCACTCTTGTTGTTCTGTGTGTTATGTTTTCATCAGTACGCAAGGTTTTTTTTTTAATGAACATGATTTTGTGACATTGCTTAGTCTTTGTGTGGTTTTAGCTTCTGTAACATCTGTATTCTGTCCCAAACATGTTTGGCACTTCCATTTAAGTTTGTGTTCTTTGGTCCTTAGATAGAAGCGTTTGGATGTAATACTTAACCACTCAATTTCAAAAAATTTGTAATCATAACATTTAAGAAATTCCTTGTGACATATTTCTTTATCATATTTGTTGCATATTATTTTTTACCACTTGATGCCATTTTATAAGAAATGAAAAAAGATATAGTAAATTTGTTAAATGCGTCAGAACCGAACCTCCGACCTTTGGATATTATCACTCCGAACTTACTATTAGGCTACGCACACTTGTCAGATGTTGATGAAATTGATGTTATAATTGAAAACTTGACAATACTACTTTATCGACTTTATCCAGTTTCTATTACTAGTTAATAGGTGGTACTAGTTTCCACTATCCATCCAGCAGTAATTGTTGATAATTTAAAATTTTTACACCTCAACGATCTTCATCCAATTACATTAATTTATACTATTACGTAAATCACATTCATATAAGCGAGATTATCATATTTATTTAGATTTTAGTTCACTTGGGTTAATTTACAGTTTATTATATTTTACAACACTAATGTTTAATTACTTCATTATGCAATTTTAACTGAACGGCACACATAGTTTTATACTTAAGTATTTTCTCATATAAAAATATACTATTTACGCGAATAACACTTCCCCATATGTATTATGATAAAATTTTCTTGTTTCCATCAAAAATACAGACCTCTAATAAGATTTCGAATTTAGAAAATAATAAAACACGGAGCTAATGTTTAGTTACAGCAATAACAACTGTCATTACGAATCTAAATGCGGAAGCGTTGTCACCCCTGAGGACTGAGATGGAATGCCTAGTTTTAAGTAAAAAGGTTATCCAGTTCTCTACACTCACCATACGAAATACAGCAGTATTAAGTTGCTATTTTACGCTAGTATTTTGTGAGAGCGTGGTCCTACCCCGGTCAAGCCGACCTACTCGCGCTGCAACCACAATACAGCTAGCTCTACTAACTAAAAAAATGCCTATGTTTGGCAGTGGACCTTTATGGGCTGTAATGGATGGATGGATGAATCCTCACCTGAACGTCCCAGAGGCGCGCGCGCCCATCCAGACCCGCGCTAAGCAGCATGGCGCCACCGGCCCCGAGGTCTACCGACATTGCAGGGTAGCGGTGAGCTGCCAACTCCCTCTCACATAGTAACGTTTGAAGCTGCTCGCTCCAACGGAATATTCGCACAGCACCATCGCTAAAATAAATTTCTTTGTGATATTATTCACGACAATTAATACAATCCGGTGTTACTGCGCCGGAATTTATTCTATTAAATATGTAAAAAATTAATTAGCGTAGATCCGCGTAATAAAATATAATGATGTGTCTTATCTAGTTTGAAGAGCACCTTTCACCCACCCTCAATTGCCCCTCAATTGCGTTTACTATCCCTGCACCTCTAATCCACCTCCTCCACTACAATCCTCCCAACAAAAGACACACCACCGTGAAAATAACTACACGTGTTTTGCCTCTAACCAATTTGTGGTGAAATAGACTCTGCGGTGATTGACCGCTAACTTAGCGTTATTTGATTTTCATAATTATCGTCCATCACTGGACCACTACAGAACACAGGCTTTTCCTACGGATTCTATTTTCACAAAGTACGATTCTGAGTCACCTGTATACATCGACTCCCTAAATATTTCATCACATTTTGAGGGGTACGAAGCTGTCATACGAAAATCTTTCTTCCCCATCAGTTGTTAGTTCTTCGAGCTTGAACCTACAGAGCCGCTGAGCTATGTTAGTAGTTTTTCTGTAGATATCCTTAGCTATCCTTTTTCGATTGTCAACTATTAACAATTATAAAATAAAATCTCAGTTTAAGGGACACTTTAATACCAACCTACAAGCTGTTACAACGATGTCTTTGTAAGTAGCGATAGAGTTAATTGCGCCCACATGTACGTCTTTGGAAATCCACAATCGTTCCGCCTCGTTGAAGCCTACGTCGTCTCCCAAAGCATTAGCGCTTTCATCGTATTGGGCTTCATCGTTTACCGGTTCGATGCCCTGAGAAAACGTCATACAGTTAAGAAAATCATTATTAAGGATCATTATGAAATTTCTGGCCTACCTCAAGATCACCTAAACCAAAATGGGTTAGAACGGAGCACGGAGGCTCGATGTCGTCTTCGAGTTTGAAGTCACCCAAGGACCAAGTGCGCACCGTTCGGTCGTTTGAACCTACACAAAAACTAAGGGCAATAAAATTGAAATAAAGTACTAGGTTTTTTATAAGCTGATAAACACAGAAAAAGTCCAACAGAATGTAAGTAAGTAAGTTACTGCAGCTCATAGATTTCTGCAACCAACTTGAAATGATTACAGACAACGCTTAAATATTTTTTTAAAACGTTACTCTCACACTAGGCTATTCTCTTGTATTATGAAGGCAGTTTACAAACACAGATTGCACAAAGATAAACATTCAGACCCGGAACAATTATTCGTAGACCATACGAAGACTTGTTCCGTGCGGGATTCGAAACCGCAGCCCCCAGCGCAACAACTCATTGCTGCGCCACTGAGCCGTCAAAAGGTCTTACAAGCTGCAATTGGCATTTCATACAAATCAGATTAGAATACAAAAGTTATCAAGATGAGGTCATGACGTTGGCGATATATTAAATGCACGTGAAAACAACACCTTAATCACTATGAAGCAGGGTGCGAATGCACCACCACTCTGTGGACTGTGATTCTTTTCTCTTTGGATGTACAATTAATTTTAAAAGTAATAATGTTTATCGAATGTTAAGTAGATATATATATGAACTCGATAAAACTATTAAAGTAAATTACCCGTAAGTAAAAAACGTAAGTCCGGCGACAGTACGGCGCATGTAAGGTAGCGTGCATGTGCATGTAAGACACGGAGACAGGTGAGTGTACGCGGCGCCCAAAGACGAGCGGTGCGGTCAAGTGACGCGCTGACGAGAGAGCCACCGCGGGCCCAGTGCAGTGACGTCACCGCCGCGGTGTGCCCACACAGCACTGCACCGGCGTGCACGCGTCTCTCTCTCGCTTCGCCCGTCACGCACCACAACCGCACGCGAGCGTCGTGCCCCCCTGTGGCGGCCACGTCTCCCACGTCGTTGGCCGCAGCGCAGAGCGCGCCAAGATCATGCGCGCCATCTTCCCACAGCAGCGGCGTTAGCACTTCACGCACAGACTCGTCGCTAGCACATACTTCTGTTAGACAATAACACGTTAATTTCTTAATGTTCTTCTACTTTACAAGTTTTTTAAAATCAACTAGTCAATTTAATATGCAACTTCAAACACGCCAACTGTATATCCTACTATATATTGCTGCTGGTGTTAACATTTTACCGTAACCACGATGGACGCAAACTCCTATTAAGATATTCTTAACATATAACTAGTTGTTCGCGCCAAACGCCAATTTTAAGAACTAACACTAGGGGGCGCTCGGCGCAGTGATTTCCTACCGGTTTATAGTAGGATATACTACTATATATTTCTGCTGGTGTTAACATTTTACCGTAACCGCGATGGACGCAAACTCCTATTAAGATATTCTTAACATATAACTAGTTGTTCGCGCCAAACGCTAATTTTAAGAACTAACACTAGGGGGCGCTCGGCGCTGTGATTTCCTACCGGTTTGACGTTCGCGCGAGACCGGAGTTGGTTGCGAGCAGGGCGCGTCGGAAGTAACTAATGCAGCGCAGTCACTAGAACGGCGTGTTCGCGTACCGTATAACCTCTAAATAGTGTCGGTTTTTGCTAGCAAATTTATGCAACTTCTGTTTTGAGTTATCATTTAGTGCGTTTACGCGATAGCGAAGCCTGCCTAAGTGTTGAGTAATTAAATTAACTTACCTTTGTTTGCAAGTAATTTATGTCAATTTTATAGTGATTACATTTTGAAGCGCATTTGCAATATTTCATTTGCTTGTGTGGCCTGTTAATATCGTACGAAAGAATTTTAGTTTGTTGTGTGGAACGCTGAACTTTGTGACCCGAGAGAATGTCGCGTTCGGCCTCTAGATATAATTTGTTGCTAAGTGAAAATGGAAGTTGAACTTTGATCGACCGTTCATTAGTTGTGCGGTGTATCACGTGTTTGATTACGATTAACGGGGATTTAGTTGAGTTTGAAGTTAATTAAATGTACAATAAAGTTGATAAACTGAAATAGTGAAATGAAGGCAGAAGTCAATTGGTGATCTACGGCTGGAGGGAGCGCACATTGAGAGAACCGCAGCTCCTGTGGATCTTCTGTCCGATTAAATCGGGCCATCAGGTCACACATATACACACTACTACACACTACTTACATGCACATACTTAACGGCTGACCGCGCCTTGGGGTCGGTCCTCGATTCGGAACCCGGTAAGTTCGTATTAATAACCTAGCCTTATTTTTCTATTGTGTAGAATAATAAGTCTCCATAGGCCATCTGGGCCCCGTCCTCTGTTGCCCGTCGAGGGGCTACTATGGGCCCTAGCCCAATCGACCTTTGCCGGGGCAACTCAGAGCGTGAACACTAGTGGTTGGATAATCGGACGCTTATTCAACCTAAGGTTTTTACATTTCATAGCATAAACTTCTAAACCAAATTTATTTAATTATTTAATTGAGTTGGGGAAACATCATTTAACACTATTGGAGACATTTGAAATATTTGATGAAATGAGAACATGAGTTGAGTGGACATGAAATAATAATAATGATAATAATAAGTAATAAATAAATAACTGCCGGAAGCCGTGCTCGAAAATAACCGCGCCAGGCTCTACTGGGACCGGGCCATCATAACAGACATGACTATTCTTGCGAATAAGCATAATATTGTGCTGATGTATCGGGCACAGGCAAGAATATTTTTGATTGACATTACCATTTCATATGACGAGAACCTCGTGAAAGTCGAAGCAGATAAGAAAACAAAATATCTAGACCTGTCTTACAAGATGACCGACATGCGGGGTGGTCTGCCGACCGAATTTATTCCTGTAGTCGTCTCTGCGAACGGTTTAATGCCGGTCAACCTTTCGTGTCGTCTGAGGCGACTGGGACTCCGTGACGGGTCGCTCCGCTACCGCCCGCATCGTCCGCCGGTTTCTTTCTCTTTCCTACTAACCCTCGGCCTCTCCCCTGCCGATGGCTTCCATCTGGTTGGTATTTTATTTATTTACGAGTATGTATTATTTATTTCCTTCCTTCCAGAAGCGGCCCCACAGGAAGTGGACCTGGTCGAGCCCCGACGGTTCCACAAAAAATGAGATTGACTTCATTATGACGACCAGACGACAACTGTTCAGTGATGTCTCCGTGATCGCGAGGGTGAAAACTGGTAGCGATCACCGAATGGTTAGAGGCACACTGAACCTAAACGTTAAGTTGGAGAGGTCTCGTCTAATGAAGTCAACGCTCCGTCCCCCTCGTGCTCTGTTCCAAACTCCCGAAACCTTTCAGCTCGAGTTAAAAAACCATTTTCAGTGCCTGGAAGACTGCAATGAAGTGGACGATATGAATGACAAGCTCGTGGAAACTGTCCATGCGGTCGGAGCTAAGTTCTGCAAGACCCGCCGCAGAAGAACACAAAAACTCTCCGATCACACTCTTAATCTCATGGCTGTTAGACGGGAGATGAAGCTACATTCTTCAACAGACTTGACAGCATACAGGCATCTGAACAGACAGATCTCCAAATGCATGCGGCGGGACTTACGCAACTTCAATACAGCTCGTATTGAAGAAGCGATCGAGCGGAACCAAGGCTCCAAAGTCTTTGCCAGAGATCTGTCTGCCAGAAAGAGCCAACTGTCAAAGCTGAAGACAGAATGTGGCAGCATCGTTTCCGGGACACCTGAGATTTTGAGTGAGATTGAGAGGTTCTATGGGCAGCTGTACACATCATCGTTGGAGCCACACGCAAGTGTGAGTAACGATCCAAGAGCGAGTCTCATCCGACACTATTCCGAAGATATCCCGGATGTCAGTCTGAGCGAGATTAGGATGGCTCTCCAGCACCTTAAAAACGGTAAGGCCCCAGGCGAGGATGGAATTACAGCGGAGCTTCTGAAAGCGGGTGGAAGACCGGTACTTGAAGTCCTTCAGAAGCTCTTTAATTCTGTCCTCCATGGTGGCATTACACCGGAGGCGTGGAGCAGAAGTGCGGTGGTCTTGTTCTTCAAGAAAGGTGACAACGCTCTCTTGAAGAACTACAGACCGATTTCCCTTCTGAGCCGCGTCTACGTGCTGTTTTCGAGAGTCATTACGAATCGTCTCGCGCGCAGACTTGACGACTTCCAGCCTCCCGAACAAGCCGGTTTCCGAAAGGGCTTTAGCACCATAGACCACATACATACCCTTCGGCAAGTTGTACAGAAGTCCGAAGAGTACAATTTGCCACTATGTCTGGCGTATGTGGACTATGAGAAAGCCTTTGATTCCGTCGAAATTTGGGCGGTGCTGCAGTCCCTTCAGCGGTGCCAAGTTGACTGTCGGTATATCGAAGTGTTGAAGTGCTTGTACAGTAGGGCTACGATGGTTATCCGAGTACAGAACCAGAATACGAAACCTATCCAATTGCAGAGAGGTGTAAGACAGGGTGACGTCATATCCCCGAAACTCTTCACCGCTGCATTGGAAGACGTTTTCAAGCTTCTGGACTGGAAAGGATACGGTATCAACATCAATGGCGAGTACATCACTCACCTTCGATTTGCCGACGATATAGTCCTTATGGCAGAATCGCTGGAGGACCTAAGCACTATGCTCAATGACCTCAATAGTATTTCCCAACGGATAGGTCTTAAGATGAACATGGACAAAACAAAGATCATGTTTAATGTCCATGTCACACCTATGCCGGTAGTTGTTGGGAGCACTAAGCTCGAAGTTGTTGACGAGTATGTTTACCTGGGACAAATAGTCCGACTAGGTAAGTCCAACTTCGACCGAGAGGTCAATCGACGGATTCAACTCGGCTGGGCAGCGTTCGGGAAGCTACGACACATCTTCTCGTCAGACATACCTCAAAACCTTAAAACGAAATTGTACAACCAGTGCGTGTTGCCAGTGATGACTTACGGAACTGAGACGTGGTCCTTCACTGCTGGCCGTATGAGGAAGCTCAAGGTTGCTCAGCGAGCTATGGAGAGGGCTATGCTCGGAGTTTCTTTGCGTGATAAACTTAGGAATGAGGATATCCGCAGTAGAACCAGAGTGACCGACATAGCCCAACGGATTAGAAAGCTGAAGTGGCAGTGGGCCGTCCATATAGCTCGAAGAACCGACAACCGATGGGGAAGAAAGGTTCTCGAGTGGCAGCCTCGTACCGGTAGGCGAAGTGTAGGGCGTCCCCCCACGAGATGGAGTGACGACCTGGTAAGACATGCAGGAAGTCGATGGATGCAGGTGGCTCAGGACCGTGCTTTGTGGCATTCTTTGGGGGAGGCCTATGTTCAGCAGTGGACTTGTGAAGGGCTGTAATGATGATGATGTATTATTTATTTATGTTAGTATATTAATTATATATTTATGTTTATTTATTATTTCCTTTAATATATTTATTCAGCCCAATCTGATGAGAATACTCTATAGATACCCCAAAATAATAATAATAATCATTTATTTCGGACCATGATCTATATATAGATGTATAAGTTAGTAATTTATAAACTAAAATATGTTAGTAACAACATTAACTAATTATAACTAAATTAATTCATATACCTCTGCCCACTTCCCACTGCACCAGACCCGCAGCAGTGTATACGTGTCCAGTGCTGCAGGAACGGGTAGCCTGGTTTTTTTACAATTACTCTCAGGATGCTTTTGGTGCTCCCCTGATGCCTACGCTTCAGGGATGCTGTTCTTTTTCGCAAAATAGCTTGAAAGCAGTCCGTTACCGCTTCAGCAAACATGCCTGATGCACTACAGAATCGTTGAAGCTCCAAAAGCTATAGCATACTTAAATATAATATTTATTTTAATTCAATGAATTAAAATAATCATTAAATTAATAAAAATTTCTAAACAAGCAGAATCTAAGATTGACGATGTAAACGTATTTGCATCATGTTCACATCAACCAGACGCAGACATGTCAACGTCGTGAAACTCTTTATATTGATGATTTATTTGATTTTAATTAAAAATGGGTGTTTTATATAATAATCATGAAAACAAAATCAATAGTGGTGGACAACGGAAC